CGGTAGGATTTTAATCCGCAGCGGAAACATTCGCCTCTCTCCCTCTAGCTGCCTAGTGCGAACGTCTTCTAAGAAGAGAGGTCTATAAGTTCGTACATTAGAGCTAGACTTAGTAGGCCGGAGCGGGGAGAGCTAGGTCGTTTAGCGGTTACGTTTAAGTAGATAGTAGGCTTAGCGGCTGCGGCGTAGCTGCTTAGGAACGCCCTAGCTATAGGGGTGCGGTTACGGGAGACTTGCTGTTAGTACTAACAGTAGTAGTTATTAAGTTTCTAGAGGTAGCTAGCATACACGGAGAACTCTTGCAAGGGCGGTAGATTGTGCAGGAGCATATCCTGCAGCTTACAAGATATCCCTTAGAATAGCAGGGGCGTTAGGGTGCTCTCTAACATTTCTCCTTCTAGTGCTAGGCACTAGAATTCCGCGAAGTAGGTGCTAAAATTAAGGTTCTTCTGCTTTAGGTTAAAAAGCTTGTTCTAAGCGTTCTGGGTACGGTCTAGGTCCCTAAACGCTTATTCTAGGTATTTAAGTATCTACAGGTAGTCTACGAACTAGGGGATTCTGTATTAGATCTTAGGTAGCATAAGCTAATAGGCTCTTCTAGTTAGGCGTCTAGCGACGTAGGTTATCTAATTTGTAGCTAGAGGGAAGCAGTTAGCGTTAGCAGTTATCTTACTATAGATCTGCTAGACAAAGCGCTAAAGGTCGTCTTAAGTTCTATTAAATTCCTTTAGGTTAGGTATTTTCTCGCTAAGGCTAGCAGTTCTAGAATGTAGGGTAGTAACAGGCGTAGGCGGTCTCGCTAGGTTATCTGTACAAGCTTTAGTAGTAGCTTAAGGGGATAAAGTAGAGGCGCAGGGGGTCTGTACAGCAGGGCTTACGGCAGCAGCAAGGTAAGATTTCTCGATCTCGAGCTAGGTAATCTGCTTCTAGTCGGCGGCGAGTTGCTCCTTCTAGTAGCGGATAATTCTATTACGCTTAATAATAGAAGTCTAGAGCTCTTGCTTAGTAGTGCGCGCGTTGCTTAGGGAGCCCTTAAGGCTCTGTAGGTACTAGTAGTTATTGCGCAGGTACAGCAGCTAGGCATTAGAGTCTCTCTGCACCTTAGCTATAAGGGCTTTAGCTAAGTCTAGGGTTGCAGGAGGTTTAGGGCAATCTATAGCAGGCCTCGCAGGGACGGGCACCTATAGATAGAAGCTACGTAATGTTACGGGGTCGGCAGGCAGGGAAGGTAGGTGCACGTGATTAGTATATTTACTACAATATTACTAATAGTACAGGGTTAGGCTAAGACAAGGACGTAGCTTAAGGAGCGTACGACAAGGCGCGTTTGCGCAGGAATTTCAGCGATCGCGCAGCTGCTCGCTTAGCAGCTTAGCGCGCTCTAATAGGCTATCTAGGTTAGCGCCGTAACACTAATCTAGATACTAGAAGATGTCTCTGCAGGAGACAGATACGAGGTAGAAGGCATCCTAGAACATAGGGAGACTACAGCAAGAGGCTAGGAATACAAGGTTAAGTAGCTAGGATAGCTAACCTAGGATTGCACCTAGGAACTAGAAGACTACTTAGACAACTGCAAGCAAATCCTTGTAGAATACATAGCTAACCTAAGGGACGTATCACGGGCACGCGGTAGGAGCCGTACAGCCTAAGGACAGCCTATAGCTACGCTAACAACTTGTTACTAGACCTAAGAGTCTAAGAGAGGGAGGGGACGCAAGGGGAAGCTGTAAGCAACCTTATGTTATGCGCAAAGTAGAAAGCATTACTAGGACAACAAAACTAAGTTCTTAGAAGAAGATGTTATTCTACAAATATACTACAAACCCTAGAAGAACTACTAGAGACCTTAGTTACCCTTAGGGAAGTCACTAGCTCCTCCTATTAGGGCATTAGAGGAACGACGTTTAGAGTTGTAACAGCGCTTAGTTAAGGAGCTGCTAGCCTTACTTACATTTAGATATAGCGTGTAATGGGCTAGAGCCTAGTTAGTAAGTCCTCGATAATATCTCGGTCACGTGCGCGAGGCGCACTGTCCACAGATTCCAGGTGCCCCCCCTAAGCACCTGGATTCTGTGCAAGCGAGCCCGGCAGAAGGTTATCCCGAGCCGCCGCCCCCTAAACGACCTTTAGAACCCTAGCTACCTGTAGTTCTCTTCTCTATCGAATACAACTCTAGTATACCTGTGCGATAGCTCCCTAAGCGTAGCCCCTTACATAGCGCCTAAACCTTATAACCGCCTAGAACCTTACGACTATAGTAGTACTAGCGCTTCTCTCGTCCTAACGCGGTACTATCCTTAGAGAATAAAGCCCTCTTAAGGCTAGCGTCTACTACAACATTAGAAGGCGCGTTTAAACCCTAAGAACTTAAGCTAGTAGTATAGCGCTTAAGGTTAAAGGTGCAAGAGACTTAACGCGCCTTAGCCTACTGTCACGGTAACTACCGTGGTTCCCTTGACACTGAACGCGCTACAGAATCCGAGTGCTCCGCCAAGCACCAGGATTCTGCTGATTGGCCGGCCGGGCCTAGCGCCATGCGCACGGCCCCCATCGATAACTTCTCACCGCCTGTACATGCTGATTCTGTTTCCTTACGCAACGTCTTGTATTACACCAGATATCGTACGTAGCCACAACTAACGCTTCTAGTAAGCTCTTAAACACGTGCTCGTAGCATCTCGTGACACCTACTTAACGTTAGATATCTTAGAGCAGGTAATCTTACGCTTAACCTAGGCAGCATGTTTAGAGAATGCAGTACAGAGCTCCTTTGCGTAGTTAAAGGCCTGCTTCTAGTACTTACAGATGTTCTCGTTAACGTTAAACATCTCCTGCTCTTGTCCCTCTAAGTAGCTACTATCCCTTATAGCGTTAATGCTCTTGCAGGTAGCGTAATTAACGAGGTACATAAGCAAGTTAACAGCGCAGCGGAAGGGAGGATTAACCTGTAAGACATTAGTAAGGACTATTGTAATAGTAACTAGCACTTACAGGAGAACAACCTAACTTATAAGCCTTATAATAACTACTGCAGACACTATAGGAGCTGTTGCGCTTGCAGAATGTAAGGCAGACTTTACGCGCAGAAGAGCGAACTGGTTGAGTAGAAGCTTGTATTCGGAGTAGAGAAAATAGCAGACGCAGAGCCTAGAAGAGGCAGAGCGTACGCGTACTTATATAGCCTAGAGAGAGAAGCGAAGCGAAGGCGTACTAGACCGTAGAAGGTCTAGTAGTTTAGGCCTTCGAAGGTCTAGTAGTTTAGGCCTTCGAAGGTCTAGTAGTTTGCGCCTTCGTAGTAAGACGTAGCCTTTTACTCCTTAGCTCTAAACCTCGTAGTAAGTAGTAGCTGAGGAGAGGCTATGTCCTTACACAGAACTCGTCCTCTATAAAGGCTCGGGCAAATCCCTTTACAGTCCCGTCGCTAACCCTAGGCTTACTAACAGTAACTAGCGCTATAAGGCAAGACTAGCAGGCGAACCTTACTAGCTAAGGCTAGGCTTACAGGTACTAAAGTAGGTTATAGATGTAGGACAGGATGCTGCTTAAAGGGACGGCGCCGGAGATAGTGCTAGCGTAGATAGTTATTGTAGTGTTAATGCGGTAGACTGTTGTTATCGTTGTAATAAAGGTTAGATGCAGAAAAGATTCTAAAACACTGCAACTTATACCCTATTACCTCGCGCTCTTACATACCTAAGGGGTCTCCGTAGTCGCAGTAGTGCCTTACCGCTTGCCTTACTATAGGGTCGCAAACACAGCAAAATGCGCTTAACACCTTAACAACACTACGCAAACACTAAGCTACGTGCTAGACAGTTACAAGATAAACAGGCTAAACACCCTATTATTTACCGCGGTAAAGCTAGGAGATAGCTAGGTAATGTGGCTGCGGCTATGGCAACCTGAAGTGCGCGGAGCATAGTAAGATTTTTTCCTTATAGAGGTTTTTCACATGCCCCTAGCGTTTAGGTCGCAGGATAACAACAGGCAGTGATCGGACTAACGCCGACAGCGACACGGTGACGTAAAGCGCAGACGGGCTCTAAGCGTAAAAGTATTGCGCTAACATTGCAAAGACCGTTGTAAGAGTCAGGACGACTCTCAAGAAGGGGGGGGGGCTATTGTCACGATGTTCTATCACCACAGGATTCCAGCCACAGACTGGTGAGCTACTAGGAACCCTTCGGGGCACCGTCGGATCACACCAGCCACAATCACGTGACGTAGGTATATATCATCCCTCTGAGAGGCTTGATAGCTCCTCAAGGATTCGTCTTAATACAAGCCTATACCAATATCTCAGTGCCTGCCCAACTACTCCTCACACCCTAGATAGATAGGAGGAATATACAAGAGAATACTGAGACGAGGAAGGACGCTTACTAGAAGGTTTTCGACGAGATACCCCCTAGAGGGAGGGGAGGAGGGGGGTAATGTAATGGGCTAGAGCCTAGTTAGTAAGTCCTTGATGATATCTCGGTCACGTGCACGAGGCGCACTGTCCACAGATTCCGAGTGCCCCCCCTGAGCACCCGGATTCTGTGCAAGCAAGCCCGGCAGAAGGTTATCCCGAGCCGCTGCCCCCTGAACGACCTTTAGAACCCTAGCTACCTGTAGTTCTCTTCTCCATCGAATACAACTCTAGTATACCTGTGCGATAGCTCCCTAAGCGTAGCCCCTTACATTTAGATACTAGGGACCCAAGTAATAATAGAGTCAACAGCCTATAAAGGGCGCGCTTAGTATTAGCTAGCTATAGAGGATATAATACTAAGGTACACTAGTAAACTAGAGGCAAAGAAGTAAACGTAATAATACTAGAGTCGTAGACTAGGAAAGCAGCTTTATACGTGTCGAGGCTCTACACTTACAGCAACTCCCTGCTCTTAAATAACTGTAGAGGCCGTTACCCGCCCTTACAATACAACGACGCAGGTACATCCCTGCGACTTAGCAATAAAGTCGGCCTTGTCGCACGACATAACACTACCTAAACCTTACCCTGACTCAACTACAATCTCCTTCCCGTACACAAACAACCGATGCCTCGTCCTCCACTTCCCTGCAATGAAAAACCTCCCACCCTCAAACTCCACAACCTCCGGCTCCCCCATGCCACACTTCTCCATTACCCTCTGGCTCGCTGCATTTTCATCATTCACAATCGCCCTGACAACCACCGTCTCATACCGAGTCCAGTAAGCTGCTGATACACGCGCACAGTTTTCGAGGACGGCGGCGATGGACTCGGTAGCGAACCCACGGCCCCAAGACTTGGGGAGGAACATGTAAGCGAGTTCGAGTGAAAGCAATGTGGAAGTTGAGCTGTGTTTGTCGCGTGGAGGGAATTTGGTTTCGAAGGGAGAGAGGCTGCGGAGAGTGATTAGGCCAATGAATTGCTCCTCGTTGCCCTCACTTCCTTCGGCAAGCTCGTGGACAATGTAAGCAAAGCGATGCACTTTCTCCTCGCCTTCGACATGCGGTACCGGCAGGATATTTCGTAATGCTTTTTCGGTGTCTTCGGAGTTCTTGGAAGGACCGTAGAGACTTGGATGCAGTTGTTAGCTTGGAGTATTGGGATTGGAGAGGAGGATTCACCTCCACCAGGAACTCTGTGTGTTGCTTCGGAGTTGGTGAATGCAGGTAAATTCTTGGGAGGAGCGGGATGCGGTGGTGAGAAGCGTGAGCTTGAGGCGTGCGGTGTGAATGATTGGGTCCATATCGAAGTAAGGTACCAGATTGCTTTGATATCGTCAACAGAACACCAAGCGTAATATCAGTATGCTTTGGTCGCGCTTAAGATTGGTTTCTAGGGCGTGGATAGCAATTAGTGATGAAAATTCTTCCTTTTATTGGTATCAGTTCTCGCTAACTTATATGATACTTCGCCAGCTATTATCGTACTGCCGAGGGCGCGGAATTGACAAGGCAATAAAATGGTAGTTGTAGGGCGGGAGCTGCTCTTTTGGACGCTTTAGGCGGTCCTGAGTTCCTTCCTCGGTTGTTTGACTAGTCCGAACTCCGAGCCGACTCTTTCTTGCGACCATCACGCTTCGACCTCCACAACTTCATCCTTGACGATAAATGCGTTGACTTTATCATCGCGTGCATATATCTATCATCATCTCAACTGATCTACCTTGTTCCAAGCGCCTCCGGCCAACTTAGACGCAGCTTTTCCGCTAGATTTTGAACGTCGGCGGCTAGTCGCTGTCATTCGCGTTGCGCGTACATTATTCCTCGACTCAGCGCCATCGCATCGAGCCCATCAGCTAACACAAGATCCTTCGGTGTATATTTGGTGTACGGGGAGCCACAATGCCCCTACAGAGGTAGCCACAGGTGGGGCTGGATTGATGAGTAAGTACCGCCCGAAGCATGTCAGCGACCCCACCGTGACTATTTTTAGATATTCTCACGAACGTCTTCGATATGGCAACCTCTACTCCGCAGGCACACACAATCTCCGATGCCTATGGAGCTTTTCACACGATACCAAGCTGGACGGGAAAATACGGCCGCAATTGCCCAGAATAGCAACAATGCTTGCAACTTGGATGCTTGAGGAAAAGTAAGGTGGACGTCCTGTAGCAGGATGTCGACCAGCTTCTATATATTCGGCGCGGGTCACGAGCAACAGTCGGTACACCCACGAAGAGATTGACGTCGTATTTTCTAAGGTTCAAGCATTATAGGATTGGACATTCCTTGGATAAATCAAAGTACTGCCATCTCCATCATGGGCGCACCAACATCCTTCTTCCGGATTAACAGCGTGGACATCGCAAGGTATGTTGTCACTTACGTCGCACTTTCGATATGCTCACAACTCGTATAGCCTCTTCATCGCGTTCGGTGCCGTGGCGATCTGGTCTACTTTGACTCTTACCATTCGTCTTCTTACCACCTTGAAGAAGCGTTCCGGAACCTACTTTTGTTCCATCTTGATCACTACTTGGGGTCTGACCATACGTCAAGTCGGCAACTTCATTCAATTCTATGCACCGAGATGTCCGTGGCAGATCGGGTTCACGATGCAACAACTCGGGTGGGTTGGCATGATTAGCGGATTTTCGATGGTACTCTACAGTCGACTCACCATAATCTTGGAAAGCCACAAAGCACGACGGGCTGTGCTTGGAATGATCCTCTTTAACGGTTTCGTGTGGCACACGGTTATGATCACGGTGCTATCAGGCATGAGGACAACCCAATATGCAGGACTACCAAGTAGTAAGTAGTCCTTCTGAATGGAATATAGTAAGCCATACTGAATATATACTTTAGGTACACGTGCATGGAAGCATGTCCACGACCGCGTCGAGAAAGTCCAAGTCGTGACGTTTGCTGTCCAGGACATCATTCTTTCCTGCCTTTATCTACGTGCAGCATACCAATACCTGCAGGGCCGGTTCACGCAGTCAAGCAAGACACGGAGCGTTATGTGTCTGCTTTTACTCGTTCAACTCGTCGCCATCACCTTCGATGTCGCCATCGTCTTCATGGACTTTGCAGGTTATCTGCAGCTCAAATTTATCGTCTTCAGCTTTGCCTATACTGTAAAATTAGAGCTCGAGTTTGTGGCGCTCAATCAGCTGGTGGAACTGAGTAAGATGGGGCTGCCAGGAATAGCTTCTATGAGTTTGGGTGATTTCGAGACGGACGAGAATGATGTGATAGTGAACAAGATGCCGAGCACCGCAATTCGGACATTTTCATTGGCGAGGATAGGATCAGGCGAAACTTCATCGGATTTGCGACCTTGTGCGTCGCAAAGCTCGAGCAGCACCTTGGATTTCATCACAACACCGCGACGAATGGAGATATGAACACTGCGAATGAACATACATGGACGGCAACAACTCGAGGCATACTGCATCGTTCTATCGATTTTCCTTAGTCAACCCAAATCTGGCTTCGCCAATCGGGTGTAGCTGTGCTTATCGTCGGGGCCGTTTACGCCTGACCTATCTTACCAGAACTATCCTGTAAAATGAAGCACTATGAAACCTGGGGCGACCTGGTGTAGGACGTAAGAGTCTATATCTATTCTTGACCTCGAAATTAGGTAGCAGTGTTTGGTGTGTTACAATTTCCCCTACTGTTAATCACACTCGCATTCAAAGATATGTACGATGGTTGTTTATTACCTATTCTTTCCATATCTTTCTCTCCATGGCAATTGTGACGACTAGTAATGTACCTGCATTCACTGTCCTATTCAAGCAAGAGTTCTTACTAGCAGTGCAGAAGCGCGAGGAGTTTCATAGCAGATTGGCAGCCCCCACTCATAGATACTGCTACTGTTGCCTAGCGCGTTCGTTTCTGTACCTAGACATTAATGGCCAGAAACTAAATATTACCCATCTCCACGTAGAATGATACCTGAATTAATGGCGCAGATGGTCTATGTAGCGTCAACGTGACAAAGGAGTATTTTAAA